GACACACAGATCACGGAGCCAAACAGTGGACGTCCTAAGGTGGTATTTCAGAGTCAGGAGGAGTAGGAGTGTAGGAGTAGAAAAGCGATAGGGAGGTCGGGCATCAGAGGTTGATCACTGGTTGGGTTTTTTTGGTGGATTTCTGTAATTATATTTAGCTAATTTAATGACCTACGCTTGTCAGTAAAAAAGAACACTACCCTGCAGAAAGTTGTGATGCTTTTATGGTGAAATAGCTTAGCACTCTAGATGGGACTTTATAGTGTTTTCTCCACTGGAAGGGTATATCCTTGTCCTGCCCTTGAGTCCTTGTAAATGTCAGTGCCAGTCCTTTTTCATGATTCAAACCTTGCATGATGACAGTCTTTCATCAACTAATGGAAAGCTCTTCCACAAGATGGTAATGCATCCGCCTTCCAAGCCCAAAAACAACATGGTACTCGTGATTAAATCATTTCTTTTGCATCAAGAATAGTAAAAAAGCTCAGATATCTAATTCTACCAAACTGGGTGGGAAAGACTTACAGTAACTAACGGACACAATGGCCTTTTTGCCAGTTTGAAATGCCTATAATGCTCTCTGTACACCGACCAAATGTCAGGCCTGTGTAGTAAGATAAAATGCGGTGATAACGCCATGAAGGACAGTGTGACATTAGCGCCATTACTCTGCTGGATTTCCTCTGGCAGGACTCGGTGAACATGCTGGAAGGTGTTTTTCCAGGAAGTGTCCAATATGGGTCAAGGTGAACCTCCGAGTCTCACCCAGTGCAGTAACGAAGGCTGGTTGGCCAAATATGAATCGCGGCATAGAGTAAAGACCCGTGTGACTTCAAAGATCCAGGGGAAATCTCCGCTGGAAATGAAACCTGAACCTGGATATAGACTGAGCTATGACGATTTCAGTTTTGTGCTCCCTAAAGAAGGCAACTATATCATAACTCACATATTTCTACACATCAGATATTCAAATATTACGGTGTGCGTTTCTTTTGGAAATGCTGATTTTTCCAAGCCACTCACATCAGGTCCTTCCTTTGCTCTTTAAAGATTCATAATTGTTTTTTAACTTGCAGAGTTCGCCGTTAAATTTGCATGAGGCAGGAACTCTCCTGGTCTGTGTGTTTATGGGCAAGAAGAAAGGCGCCAAACAGCAGTTTGATCTCCACTCACAAATTAAAAGGAAAGATAAACTGAGCTGTGAGTTGCACCAAAACACTTCTGACAGTCCCAGTAGACAAATAGCAGAATTCAAATACCCTGCCAGTAGAAACAGTGGACGGACTCGGGCTGTTTGAGGGGCAATAAAAGGGCACCAGGGTGCAGAAAGTTGTGATGCATTTATGATGAAACAGCAGATCCACCAGGGATGAGTGAAGACATTTTGTGGGGCTGTTGCTCGAACCCATCGACATATAAATGATTCACTTCCTCCCAGTACATGAAAACAAAGCCAAATATCATCGGATAAGGCCGCTGCCATCTTGCACCACTCTGAGCCAGAGTCTGCATCAGGGTTGGCGCCACAGTATCGAAGTGCGCCAGAAACCAAATTTATTTGATGTCGTCCATCTTTATATATGTTGGCGCTGTAGCCTGAAAAAATAACGCTCACCCTACTGCCAATATGTTAGCCAGCTAGCTTTCCAAAAATCACGTTCAAACAAACTTCAAATGATACACAGTTCATTCGAATGAATTCAAAAACATGATCACCACACAAGAAAACATAATATTAAGATTATATTTAAGGATAAAACATTTGCTCTTAATGATGAGCGGCATATCGTTGCATATAAAGCTTGCTGTCTTATCAGTAATGGCATTCTGAGGTCGTACATTTCACTTTGCTCAGCTCGTCTTCCTCACTTGGTTAGCAAGCTAACATTAGTGAGTGAGAATTGTTGTGGTTGTAGAGTTAGCTGCTTTGTACAATGCTTTGCTCGCTAGTGTCTTCCATTTTCATTGTAAACAACATAACATTGCTAGCTTAGACAGGTCAGTGCCATGGGTCAAGCTGATAGTGGAGCAGGTAAACATTAGCTAACTACAGTCTGTTGCACTTATGGACTGTACATTTTGAATTCAAACAGGTTATTACACTCAGAAAATTAGTTTCGAATAGATAGTGACAGCCCACTCAGCTAGCTAGCTAAGTTTGGTTCACGATATACGAACTTCTTCCAACTTCAAAAGACTCAATCGCAGCAATCCTCACACAATATCAAGGCTGCGGTGAAACAGAGATACAAATGACATCCTATATCCTTGACCTAGATGGAAAATGATACGAGGCTGAGGAAAGATGTGAAGGACTTCCCACAGTGCTCAGTTGTTGTCAGATTTAATTCGAATAAGAAAGTTTTCTTTTTTAAAACACAACTAGTTGTTAATAGAAATCTATCAGGTTTATTTTCATCATGGCAGCAATATGTTTATTTAAATGTTTCCAATGTGTTTGTTGCTGAGTCTTCAACGCTGCATGTCCTGACGCTGGTGTGAGACTAAAAAGCTTGACTTGACAATTAAAAGTTTTGAGAGAGAGTGCAGAAGCTTTTCCATTACTCGTCAAATCTGACTTGTGGACAGACAATCCCTCCTTGCTGACTGAGGCTTCAGCAGAGGGGGGGAGGGAGGGGGGAAAGCCCAGATGTGGATTTTCGTACATGATGCATCAGCTCCCTGCTGTCTGAGATAAAATGCTGATGATGCTGGTGCCCGAGGAGTCGTCGCCGTAGAGTCGACGACGATACAAATGAAAATGCATGCAGAGAAATGAGCCGAAGACTTAAGAGTGCTCTGCAGCATTCAGAGGTTAGAAGTGCACACAATGAGCGATAGACTCCCCTGTATCAATTTCTCCACCAGCCATCAGTCAAGCGGCGTAAGAGCCTGATGACTGTCTAACTACCCTTGAGCCAGACCTCCAAACTCCAATATAAAAGTTTCACATGGACAGCAGATGAATGTCTGACAAACAAACGGCCGTTGCATTGCATACAGAACCTCTCCTGCTCCACTATAAATACACCGCGGCCTCCCACGGTGGAGCCCAGATTGAGGCAGCGTGCTCCCTGGGGTATGCTTGCACTTCATCCCGTACAGCCTGTCGAACAGCATGTCCCACATCCTGCATGCGCCATTTTGTTTTGATAAAGCAACCTCAGAC